GCACTGAAGACCCTGTTTTCACCACAATTGAATGTATCAACATAGCAAAAATCACACTAGTACCCCATAAATATATACAAATGAAAAGTAAATGGGAAAATTCATATTAAATATACTTAAGATTTTTAGTAACAACATATTAATAGGCAGATATTTATGTATTAAATAAAAATTGTCAGGAGGGTGGGAGGGGGGAGGAGAGGAGGGTTATATACAACCACAACAAGTAAGATGTGCAACGTTTGGGGGATGGACATGCTTGAAGCTCTTACTCGAGGGGGGGGCATGGGCAATATAAGTAACCTTAACACTTGTACCCCCATAACATGCTAAAATTCAAAAAGCCTAAAAAAATAAATAAAAATAAAAATAAATTTTTTAAAGTTACTTTGACATTTTGGATGTATGGCTCAATGAATAAATAACATATTTTAAACTTATATTTGCTATATTTTAAAGCCATATTAGTTTTTAACCAGTCAATTTACTCAACTCTCTTTTGTTTTCATAATCTTTGAGGCAATTCTTTTGGATTTTCAGATATACAGTTACACAAGTTGCAAAAATAATAACTTTTCTACCTTTGTATATTTATATCATTTTTCTCTTATTTATTGAATTTAGCTAATATTTATCAACTAATGCTAAATCAATATTCATGAGATAGCTTGCATCCTTGTTTGATCTTGATTTTAATACGAATAACCCAGAGTTTTCACTATTAACTGTGAAACTGGTATTGGTTTGAGGGAATTTCTTGTCTCAACCCTAAATCTCATCCTAAATCTTATCCTAACCCTAATTTTAATTCTTACTTGAAGCTTTCATTATTTCAGAATTTTTCTATTCAGTACTATTTGTGCAAGAATTTCTTCTTTGTTTTAAAATTAGAAATAAATCTTAAGTAACATCTTTTTTAAAAAGTAATTAAAATTATTTTTATAATTTCTAAGTCATTTATTTGCAATTCAGTCTCATCTTTGATAGTACAACTATATTTGGACCTTTTTTTTAAAATTTACCTGTACAGTGGATTCTTTTTGACACCTGGGATGTGTTTTTTCAATGTACAATGATTTGTTTTCCCCAAAGAAACAAGTTTATACGTTTGGATACATTCCCAGACTGGCTGACAGAATTCTAATTTACCAGTGCTTTTGTGCTTTAACTAAACTAGATCGCTAACACTATGATTTCAAGTCCTTACTTCAGTTAGAATACATAAAGTTAAGGCCTAGACAGAACCCAGCTGTCCTTTTGGAATAGATTGACAATGCACGGCTAATATATTTCCATTATTTGTTAGACCTCAGCATGACATAGAATTAACTATACATGTCTTCTAAACAGTCACCAAAGCTGTGGCTGTCCCACCTGCCAAGAAGGCCCATCTCATTCCTGGTTTCATAGATCTGAAGGCTTCCCTATTGCCTTCAGCATATTGATATGACATTGAACCTGTCTATTAGCCTCTGTTTCCCAGTGACACTATCCTCATCTTTGCCAACACCAACTCTAGATAACTGCTATTGCATTTCCACTCTTAACCTTTAATATTCCTTTCATCCATTCTTAGAGCAGCCAGAGGATATCAATAAAACATAAATCAGATCACAGTGCTTTCACTCTAAAACTCCACCTGATATTTACTCGCACACAGGATAAAATGTAACACTTTTAACATGATCTAAAAGGTCCTTCATGGCTGACTTACCTCACTATACTTACCTTGTATTATTCTCTCTCACTCACAACACCAATGCCTCACTGGACTTCTCTCATTCCTAAAAACCTTGCAAACATTTTACGGGTGCAGGGGACCTGTTACTCTCTTCACCTCTAGGGCTCTTCTCCCCACTCATTGTCTGGATAATTCCATCACTAGACCTCAGTTTCAATGATCCTTCCTCAAGGAAGCCCTCCTTGATATCTTACTTTAAATTCCTATTCCATATTATAGTGTCTCATAGCACACAATTTTTTCCTATTACATACAATAATAGGTAATTATTTATGTATCTATAACAATTTTCTTTTATAAAATCTTAATGTACTTGGTTTTTTTTTTCTTTGTATTTTCAGGATCCATGCACAGAAGGTACGGCATTTAATATATATAATTTCAAAATTAATGAAGAGATGAATAAATTAATAGGTAGATAAAATAATAGACAAATATGCTTCACTAGTTCCTAATGAGAGCATTATATTGAATTAACAATAAATTTTATTTATGTGAGTGTCATTTCTCAACTCTATGCTTGACAATTCTATCTAGTCATTATCCAAAAGAAGTGAGCTCTATCCTTAAATGTTTTGCATCTATTCACTTCCTCATTTCCCACCCTGCTCATTGTCCTGAACTGAGTCCCAAATGACACCATTCTTAGTTTCCTACTTTGTACTCAGGCATATTTGAGACATAGCTGCCACATTCACCAGCCTTTTAAGCTTATAACCTATTGAATGTCTCACATTTGCCTCTACCAGTACCCAATCAAGATCCAGATCCTTACCTTCTGAACCTGTCTCATTAAAAAAGAAAAAAAAAAAAGTCCAGATCCAGGGATTCCTACTCATCGGGTCTTATTATCAGTCTGTATTTTGAGTATATTATATCATATTAATGATCTAGTTCTTTCTTTTCCCCAACATTTTTCATGTCTTTTCCTGTATGCCTTATTATATTAAAATACATAGTAGCTAAAGAAAGCATTTCATAAATTCTGTGTATGTAATGTCATGGAGTTAATTTTTAAGGCAAATAAGCATCCCATCCTTGCTTTCCACCTATAGGAAGTATGGCAGCGATGCTATTCTGGAGACATGGTTAGTCCTTCATTTCTAAAATGCTCTCCTGCCAATTCCTGTTGCCCAAGTTCCACTGTACTCTAGGGGTGAAGTGCCTGGCTCTAAATTCCAGGGTATGGCTTATGGAAGTCACAAATCGGCCCAGTCCCTCCCCAGCCTGTTGTAGACCCAGCTCGGTGCACCTGAAGAGTTCAGGATGGCCCTAGCTGTTGCCTCCTCTCCACAGCACCTGCTGTCTTGTGGACAGCTCTGCGTGGACTCTAGGAATGTCTCTGTCTGAGCAGGTAGGAGGTCTGTAGGGGTGGTGGGCGCCCTCTTGTGTTTCTGCCCATATGAGATTGCTGTAGTTCTCCATGAACTTTTACCACTGGCAGCATTAGCAATAATCAATGCTGAAATAATTCCTTGAATTCTAGACATATTCTTCCTTGGCCCTGTTGTGTAGCAGAAATCATAATACCCCTTAATAGTTGGGATCCACAATCCCAGACAGTGCAATAGTCCCCACCCCTCTTGGCCTGCTGGTTCAGGATCAGAAGGTGCTTTATGTGAGCAGATGGAAGCCTTAATTCCCAATTCAATTTGGTGATAGTTGTGTCCCTCAGTAAAAGCACAGCTCCCTTAGAAACTAAGATTCACAATCAAGTCCGAAGATGAGTATATGAGAATCACAAATTATGCAAGCCACTTCCACTTCCACCCCTATTTCTAGGACACATGCTCTCTTCAGCCATGGGATAAAAATCTTCATATATGTGTTAAGGACATAAACCAAAACTTGTGTAGCATCACACAAGGCAAGGCATTAAGCTGTCATCACCCAGCTTTGTTATAACCTAATATGCAGCAACCATTTCACCATTCTTTTGGTCCAATTGCTTTTACATATTGAATATATGGTAAGACAAATTTTCCTGTGGGTGTGAGCACTTTATGTCACTTATTTTGCTTTCAAATTGTTCATCTCTAACTATAAACAAAAACTAAAATGAAAGTAGATAATATATTTAAACATAAAGGTGATAATTAGAAATTTTCTATAAGAAAATGAAATATTTTTCATCTTTGGAGTAGGTAAAAATTTATTTGATAGAAACAAAACAAAAACTGATAAAATTAAGACCATAAAAATTAAAAACTTTTTTTGTCTAAAAGACATTACCAAAACATGAAGAAAAGCCATAGATTGGGAGAAAATATTCGCAATACATATATCGATCAAAGGACCTCTATGCAAAATGTATAAAGAACTCTTACAACTGATGAACACCAGTCCAATTTGTAAATTGAGCAAAAGATTTCAATAGATGGTTCGCAAAAGAATATATAAGAATGGCCAAGAAGCACATGTAAAGATGTTCAGCATCACTAGGGAAATATTAATTAACATCAAAATGAGATAGGGTTTCACACCTAGTAGGACAGCTAATATTAAACATGGTGACAAAAACATTGTTGATGAAGATTTAGAACAACCGGACCTCTCATGCCTTACATGTGGGAGTGTAAAAATGGTACCATCACTTTAGAAAAAGTTTTGACGTTTTCTTATGAAATCGAACATGTTGTCTTTGACCTAGCAATGCCAAACCTATATATTGTTCAAGAGAAATAAAAACATGTATCTACAAAATGCACAAAAATGTCCATTGCAGCTTTTATTAAAATGAAAGCCAAAAACTGGGAACAACTTAAATGTCTGCCAATTGGGTAATGGATGAGCAAACCGTGGAAAACTCACACAATGAAACCCAACTCAGCAATAAAGTAATGAACTACTACTAACACATTTAACAACATGAACGTATCTGCAAAAAAGCATCATAGTAAACAAAAAAAGGCAAGAAGCAAAAGACTACATACTGTATGATTCCATGTGTATGAAACTCTAGAAACGGTAAATTTAATAAATATTCATAGAAAATCAAGCAGTGTTGGATAGATGAATTCAATAAACATTTATAGAATGTCAAGCAGTGTTGATCTGTGGCCAGGGGAGCAGGGTGGGGTCTCAGAAGAGACATGCTGCATTCTTTTGGGGGCGATGGAACTACTCCCATATGTTAGTTGAAGTCATGGTTACAAAAGCATATGCATTTGTCTAAACTCATTAAATCATATTTTTAAAGTGTGTGTATTTTATTGTAAACAAAGTAAAAATATAGTTGTTGTTTTTTTTTTTTTTTTAGTTAATTGTTCAAAAGCGGTATTTGAGCTGTGGTGTATACATAGCAGCATTCAACACTATGGTGGATAAAGCAATCAGTAAGTCCACAAACATGGTACTGGTAGAAGCATTGTGAGATGGAAAGGCAAATCCATATCCAGAATAAATATCCAGTTGGGTGGAGGGGTGGGGTAAGCGGGAGTCATAACTGATCAACACATGATCCTATAAGAACTGAATTCAGGATGTTGTTTAAGAAAGAGCCTATTATGCCCTAAATACATGCTATATGCTTCCTCTTATTCACTCTCTGAATTTTGGGAACTTTTCACTGAGGGCCCACAGAAATATTGGGAGGAACTTTTTCGATTGTTGTAAACTGATTTCATCCTACTGAACATAACACATCCTCATCATTGCCATACATAATATGCATCTTATTGCCCAAAGAGAATAGCATCATTTGTTATTGTCACCATTTTAAATTCACAGATTAAGGTAAGCTGTAAGTGAATGTTAATAATGAAAAAAATCGATTTACACATAGTGTAGAATTTTAGTAAAAACATTGTAATTGCTTTATAAATCCATTTTATGCTGTCCATAGAAATTATTGAAGGCAGAACATGTTGCTTAAATTTTTCAACTATATTTTATGTAATGTTATAGGGAAAGTATGTTCAAGTTGCATTTATGGATTTGAGAATGCACAAATGTCTTGGTATGTATCTTTTGGGAATATAATGGGTGCATTATTGTATTTTGGCATTGAGTCTCACTGTAGTGGAAAGTTTTAACCAAACAGCATTACTTTTTGCACTCTCAGTTTGAGGTGAATATATGGAAACTGATTCTGTATTCAGCCCCTTATAATTCTCATGGACATACCAATAAAATGTGTTTTGTTTTCTTTATTTCTTCATTAAGCAAAGCCTTTTCTGCTAAAAGCATCACATGACATTTCACTACTTGGTGTTCCATATTTTACACTACCAATGTTTATTTTAATGTTGGAATATTGTATCCTGTAAAGAAATATAATAACAAGGGAGCTTAACAGAGAGTTAAAAAGCTTATATATGATGTGCCCAAATTACATTACTAGAATCACACCAGAAAATAATTCTTTAAACCAGGAATAGTGTCCATAAAGCAATTTAGAGTATAAAATATTAGTGTTTTAGGGAATTTCATAAGTGCACTATTCTACCCTCAGAAAATTGAGGGCCAGATGAATTAAATAACATAAAAAAGCTTGTGCTGTCCCCAGGATTGAAATCTTAATGTAATCCAATGCCGGCTTTCTTCCTACAATTTCCACCTAAATATATTGGACATAGGGAGTAAATATAAACTAAATACATAAAGTCCTCCAAACAATTATAATTCTAGTTATAAATGTGTCTCTTCCATGTATCTTCTGCAATACTAAGTTGCTTTTTCTGGACTTTTATTTGTTTATAGATTTACATTTATTCTTTTTATTGTAGATTACTCAAGAAAGTCTATTTCTTTATTTTTTAGCATAGTTTTAGACTTATAGAAAAAATTGAAAGCATAGTTTTCATATACGCTCACACCTAGTTCCCCGTATTATGAACATTTTACATTAGCATGCTATATTTCATAAAATTAATGAACCAATATTGATATATTTTCATTAAGCAAAGTCCTTAGTTTATTTGGATTTCCTGACTTTTACCTAGTGTCCCTTTTCTATTTCAACATCCCATCCAGGACACCACATTACATTTAGTCATCATGTCTCCTTCTTGTCTAGGACAGTATCTCAGGCTTTTTTTTTTTTTTTTTTTTTAGGTGACATCGACAGTTTCGAGGTGTACTGGTCTCGCATTTTGTAGACTGTCCCTTCATTGGGGGTTGTCTGATATTTTCCCCATGATTAGACTGGAGTTATGGGTTTTTGGAAGGAAGATCACACAGGTAAAATGGCATTTTCCTCATATCTTATCAAGGGTACACACCGCCAATATGCTTTGTGGCTGTTAGTATTGACCGTGATCACCTGGCTGAGGGGGCGCTAGTCAGAATGCTCCACTGTAAAGTTCCACTTTTTGCCACCTTTCTACATTATACTTTTTGGAAAGAAGTTGCTGTGTACAGGCTACACTTAAGGAGTAGAGTTATGCTCTCCTTCCTCTAGGACAAACTACCTGCATAAATTATTTAGAATTCTTCTGCATAGAATTTTGTCTCCTTTCTCCCAATGTTTTAATTTATTCAATAATTTACTTATGTATATATGGACTCATGGATATTTATTTTATACTTTGGGTTATAATTAAACATTATTGTGTTGCTCGCATTGATCCAGCTCTGACTATTAAGAGTACTTTCCTTCTAATGTGCCCCTTTGCCATTTTCCCATCAAGGAGGGTTTTTTTTTTGTTTTTTAACACTTCCTTACTTTCTGGCACTACAAGAGGCCCCAAACTCATCTCATCATTTCCCTGTTTCAGTTCCTGAATCAGCCTATTCTCCAAGGAGCCCTGGTTCCTTTTCTTGGAGAATGATATTAGAAACCAAGACCTGGGTGCTAGTTGAGCCTGGAGTCATACTTTAGTTCAAGGGTTCAGTATATGTGGTCCTGCCCCAGTGAATTTATGAGGCAGCACAAATATATTACCAAAGACACTCATTAGTCATTTTTGATAATATGTGGATTGTTCTATCAAAATTGAATATTTTCCTTTACATTTTCTGAGTTGGGCAATAATACTCGCTATCATATTTTGTATGGAAGCTCTGTATTATACGTATGAAAATCAGTATTGTGACTCCCCAGTGATTTGCTCCACTTGTTTTGTCTTCTTAATAGCCCTTTGTTGACTTGAGTTAATGAAGATCTCCCTTCTTTTCCAGACTCCAGAGATTTGATAAATAGAATGTGCAAAAAGATCAGAGAACTTCTTCCCTGAGTTTAGGGCCTTGAGCACTTCACTGGATTAAAACTAATAACTAGCTTATTAGCTTCCATTTCTTCTTGTAGATATTTCAGAATATTTTAATTTGGAAAGTGCATTTCCAAATTTTGAGGAACTGATCCTCACTAAAGAAATTTTGAGAAAGAGCAAATGAATTTTCTAGGAGAAGAAAGAGATGCTGGAAAAATGGCACTATGGTTGTGAGGTTTAGGAGAGGTTGGCATTATGCCAAAATTATAACAGTATAACTTTCTGTTTCAAGCTGTCAGGTACAGAATATCTCTACAGCACCAGATCGTGGATTTTCTTCAAAGACATTTCCTACTTGGAGAATAAAAATAATAATAATAATAATAATAAAAATCTCTAAAGAGGACTTACTGTTGACTTTCACAATACTAGAGTTACAAATATTTCCCTTTTTACTATAAAAAGGTATTAGATGTTAAAATATTTGTTCTTCCTTCATGCTTATGTGAAGGAAGAAAATCTACTCAATGTATTATCCTTGTCTATCATGCCTTTTTTTTTCTTAACATGCTAAATCTGCTCATTAAAGCTTAAATCAAAAGGAAAGATGGTTATACAAAAGAGAGTTTCAGCGTAGATACATCAATTTTGTACTTTTAAAAGGCTAAAGAATTGTAAGGAGAACAAACACACACAGAATTTGTAATTGAAGTCATTTATGAATGACATTTTTATTTTCAGATGGCATTTTCTAAATACCAATTTAAATGCTATAGGTTATTTAAATATAGCAGAAGACTAATTTTATTTTCATAAAGTTTAATTCCTAAAAAGGGATAATATCCATAGTGTTATACAATTCTATGTATGTAAATATGCATATATATATTTATCTCTAATTAATTACTATATATAATTGAAATGTGTATATGTATATTTATACATTCCAAATTAAACTGAGTAGTTTTTTCTAAGCCATGCACCCCCCAAAAAAGGGTTGACCAACATTTTTATGTTTTTTCCTAATCCTGATGGTGTTCCAGACTGTAGTTAATAGGATAAATTAATTTTTCAGAATTTTTTTCTCAAAATGAATTTTGAGATATAATGTACCCCGGTTTTAACTTAGTCAACACTTATTTGTTTGTTCTTGGCAAGTAAACTGACAATAATTTACCTTAGAATCCTCAATTCTGGTAACAGAATATTGATCTAGGTGATGTTTGCATCCTTTACACCACTAGCTGAACAGGTTGAGTCTTTGATTCTATTCTTTCCCTGAATATAATCAATGAATTGAAAAAATATTTTTTTCATATCATTTCTCATTTATGCATTGTTTTAATTGTGGTTTTCTTCACAAATGAACACAAACAGTTATGCCTAAGAATAAGAATCTAGAGAAAAAATATGCCTTTAAATGAAAGGCTTATATTTTTCCATCAGTGAATGTAGCAATTTTGAAACGACAATCATCTTTGCCAGTAAAAATGATTTTATCCTTTGCCTAACTTTATTCCTTTCATATGATTTGGGAATAGGGTTCCTTAATATTTTAGAGGCAATCAATAGCAGATGATACCTCTTAGCTACTCTAGTCAAGAGAGCCAACTTTATTTTCATTTTGTTCAGAGTCAGTGTTCTATTTAACTCTAAATTATTTATGATGAACCATTTGGGATATAGAGGAAGTCATGTTTTGGAAAATGAAACCTACATAAAATTAATGCTAGATTATTATTCATGTATATCTCACATAGGCCCTGGATTTACTTAGAAATACCACTGAGAAGAAAAAAACAACAAAATCTTCTGTAGTAAGATTTCTAAGTATATTTTTCAAACTGAGGGTCAAGAGTTGTAACTACACTAGCTTCCTTTGCTTGCGGTTGCATTCTCAATCCAAGAGTTTTTTGTGTTTGATCAGAGTGGAAAAGACTACTGAGTATATTCTGACTGAGATAGCTAAAATTTAACATGGTTCTTGGAACATAATAGAGACTCAAAGCATTGTTGTCAAGTGCATGAATAAATACAAAAAACAAGTAAATGATTGAATCACCCATCTATCCTCCTTGTTAGAAATTTCTTTATAATGTTACCAGTCTTGATAAACCACAAACACATATTAATAATTGTATGAAATTAAAAACTTCATCACTAAGATTACTATTTTATTTGGTAGTAGTAATGTTTTGACTACATTGGTTAAGTGCTTTGAACTTTCTTAAGGCAAGGTACTAGCTACACAGTCATACATATTAATCATGAAACCATCTTTAAGTAAAATATACTATTATTAATTATTCTTAAATTTTCCCTCTTAAATTTTACCTCCTTCTATAAAACTCCCTCTAGAATTTTATTTCTATATTCTATAAGCAAAGTTATAGAAGTGATATATACCAGACGAAGTCATAATTAGAAGCCTACTTTATTCCAAGTCACCCATGGATTTTGTAGCCTACTGAATTATAATAGTTATCACAAGCATTTATTTATTTTCAGCTCAAACTAACCATGGTAAATAAAAAAGTCCTCATCAAGCTTCTCCTAGTGTTAACCTCTTATAAAATCCTGTTATACTTACCAAAACTAAGAAAGCAACATTAGTGCAATACAATTATCTAAACTAGGGACTTCTTTGGATTTCATCAGTTTTTCCACTGATGTCATTTTTCTCTTCCAGTATCCAATACAGGATACCAGATTGTATTTTGTCATCATGTTGTCATGACTTCCTACAATCTGTTATGATTTCTCAGACTTGCTTGCATTTTCTTTTTATAACCTTGACAGTTTTCTTGAAAAGCACTGGTCAGATATTTTATGCAATGTTCTTCAACTTGAATGTGTGTATTTTTTCATGAATAGACTGGGCAGTTGGCTGGGGGTCAAAAATATCATAAAGGTGACGTGTCCTTTTCATTGTATCAGAGGGTATTTGATATCACTGGGACTTTTCACTGGTAATGTTACCCTTAAGAGCTTGGTTATAGTGGTATCTGCCAGGTTTCTCCCACTATACACCTAGTGTTTTTTCCTTGTCAGATTCTCTTCTTTGGAAGTGAATCACTAAGTCTAGCAAATACTCAAAGTCAGGGGAATTAATTTCCCCCTCTTAGAAAGAGAAATGTGTACCTATATTATCTGAAATTATTTTGTAAGAAAGGTATGTCTCTTCTCCCATTTATTTATTTACTGATTCATTTAATTATCACAGTATATAATTATCAACATTTATTATTTCCTTACGTAATTTCAAAAGTGTTATATTATTTATTCTACTAAGTTCTTTCTTAATTTCTGCCTATATAATATGCTCCGGGCACATCTTGTATTTTCCCTTCCCCAGCCTTAACATCAGCCATTCCTCCCAAGAGATCTGTTTCCTTTTATTGAAGAATGGTATTTAGAAACCAAGAACTGGGTGCTGGGTGTGCTCATTGCTAATGAATGCCTCTAATTTTAGGCCAAGAGACTTGGAAAATGTGAGAAATTTTGGGGGGAAAAATATAAAATTCAAGTTAGAAAAAATTACAAATTCAAAGCAGTAATAACCAGCACAGAAATATAACTCATATTTTGAATAGTGTTAATTTTTGGATCCCATTGCTCCATAGATTTATTTTTGGCTTAATATACAGATGATATTCAATTTTCCAGGGTTGACTTTCACACTTAGATTCAGACTTAATTATTTAAGTCTGTATTTTCTAATACCATCCCCTTCTTAGGATCCCTATTTACATCAAAATTAACTTGTTAAAACAGCTCATTTTGTAACAATACCCCTATTTTCTTGACTAAATGACATTTGGGAAATAAATCTAAAGTTTATTTTAATTCCCCCACCTCCCTTTTTAAACATTTATATGTATTTACTTAGCAAATTCTTCCATTTATCCCCCCTAAATATTTCTAATGTATGAATGTCTTTCTGTTACAGCTACTGTCTCAGGCCACATCTTTCCCATTTCCTACAGTGACTATTGAATAATCCTAATCTTTCCCCTCACACAC